GGGTCAGACCAGAAAATGCGGTCTTTTATACCTTTCCTAAGGGCTCTGTTTTCACATGTCACTTTACTATTTACATTGCTGAGTAATCTTATATTGAGCTTAGCAATCCTCTTATGTAAGCGATCAGCATCCCATTCTGCTTCTAGAACTTTCTGGAAGTTTTGGTGTGGGAATTAGCCAATTGCATTGCCTAACACCCATCATGACCTTGTTTACCCTTGTTTACTCACTTTATTCTAAGTCACATGTCATGGGGTTATTTGTTAGCTTAAGGGTGTAGCTTTCCGTCGGTATAAACAACAGTAAACTACGAGGATTATTTATGAAGATATGAATTTTTCAAGATTTAATTTTGAGGTTCTCCAGATTGCTTTGGCATTAGCTCATCCATTTTCTTACAATTAATTCTGGATAAATTATGCCTCGTTCCTGGACTCGAACTCTTTAGTTTCGCATTTCTAGCTCATCCGTTTTAACCACAAACTCAGGATGTTTGAGCCAGTCTTCTCTGCAAGTGTGTTTTAATCTTGTTAAATCCGTTTCTCCCTCAGTTCTTCAGATTTTAACATGAAATCTTTTCGAACACAGACCTATACTTCAACTCTTTAAGACCGACAAAGATTCATATTTTTCCCTATTTTCCTCATATAAATATTTTCAATTCTTTCATCTTTTCCTCGTACCCGACCATTTTTCATTATATGAATGCCTTGATTTCCTTCCGATTTCTCTTTGTCATTCGTTTCGTACGTTCGTAAAACTATTTTCCCACGTTACCACGAATTTCTAATATTTTATTTGATACAGGAAACCTTGTTTTTGTTTTCATGTGAGTTTATTTGCTGTTTTTCTTCGTTTTCTGAACCATCTTTTAATCCCTAGACTTGAAAGTTCGTGTAGATACTCAATCCATCGACTCTGTTCTTCATTATCTTTCCGATATTTTATTTCAATTCATTTTGTTGAGTTATGATTTTATTCCTATTTTTATTTCTGGTCCGTGGAGGTTGTATGATTTTTATCCAATTTTTTTGTGATGGTTTCTGGTTGTTTTAGTGTTGTAACTTTTATATTCCTACAGCGCATGACGAGACCGGACATCGGGGAAAGCTCCTGACCTATAAGAATTTAGTGGATAAAGTCTGGTGGCCACGAATGTTTACATTTGTGGAATGGTATTGTCAAACATGCCATGAATGCCAGGTTAGATCTAATTACAGGCCCAAAATTCCAATAAGACCAACGTATGTAAAAACAATTTTGAAGAAATTTGCATTGGACACGGTCCATATGCCAAAGAGCCGGAAGTATAATTATATAGTGGATGCCAGAGATGACTTGTCAGGTTGGCTTGAAGCGCGAATGCTGTATGACAAAAGCTCAATCGGAATAGCAAGGTTTATTTTCGAGGACATAATGTGCCGATTTGGCTGTATTCCACAAATAACTACAGACAACGGATCGGAATTCAAGGATGCAGTTCAAACATTAGTAAAGAAATATAATGTTCCAGTAATTCACACTTCTGCGGAGAACCCAAGGGCAAATGGAATGCTAGAAGTAGGACATAGGTATTGGCTAGATGCAATTTGGAAGAATTGCAAGGGAAACAGAAACAAATGGTCCAAATGGTTTTATTATGCTATGTGGGCAGATAGAGTAACAATGCGTAAAGCTACAGGATTTTCACCATATTATTTACTATATGGACAAGCACCTCTATTCCCCTTTGACATCTCCGAAAGAACATGGCATACATTGGACTGGCATAAAGTAGAATCTACAATGGATCTACTAGCGCTAAGAATGGCTCAATTAAAGGAAAGGGATGACAATATAGACCAGGCATCAAAGGATCTAGAAGCCCAACGGCGGAAAAATGCGCAAGCATTTTGGGACAAATATGGAAAACCACAATATAAAGATCCAATCAAACCCGGTACTATGGTATTAGATATAAGAATTTCCTAGATAATCAACAAGGAAATAAAGGAGCGCTGAGATGGTTTGGGCCATATTACGTGGTAGAAAACCGACCGTCTGGGGCATATGTCTTAGCGGAGTTGGATGGAACAGTATTGTCCAAGCCCATAGCAGTGCAACAGGTAAAAATGTTTTATTTTCGTGAGAACAACGAGCCTATCATACACAAACGGAAGAGGGAAAATGGAAAACAATTGAGAAATGGCATAATTTGGAAAGGAAACAGTGGTTAGGAGAGGAGGAGGCTGTCAGAGACCTGGTCGAGACGAAGGAGTGTCTCCGTGGCGGAGGGCTTCAGCCTCAGCGACTTGTGCCAGGAGTGCTGTGCCAAGTAACACGTCCGTGCCCTAACTTACTAAACTGGCAACCAGAACTGAAGGGGGTAAACTCTAGTCGATTTTATTACTGAAGTGTAACCTATGTACAAGTTGAGTATATATAGTTACAGCGAGGGCGGGTCCGCAAATGGCGGAGCCGAGTGGAGCGGAGCTAACGGGGTTAGACATTAGCCGATTGAATATTACCGACGAGTCGGGTTACAGGGTTAACAGAAAGGCAGGCGATAACCCAGAAACGGAAAGGAGGGATAGGCCCGAAGGTGGGCTTTGCAGGGCAAGCAAGTGTATTGTCCAGCGGAGGCGGGAGTGCGCTAGCGGACGTCAGAGCTGTCCAGAAGCCTTCGGGGCTCCATACTTAGGGAGGTGTAGGTAATAAATTGAAAGGAGGGGGTGGTGACCATCAAGGGGTACCGAGGGGATTGCGGAATATGGGAGCTCCGAGGTTAGTGAAGAAGGAGCGGAAGTAGACCAGAGGGATCGGAAGTCGATGGCTGGGGATGGATATGACAGAGGCTGATGGGACCCTGTCAGAAGAGAGCGAGAATGGGGATGACTTAGGAGACGATGACTTGGGAGGATTATCTGACGAAAATCCAGAGAGTCTGGAGAAGGTGATGAATCTACGAACCCGATGGGGACGATTTCGTGGAAATAACATTTGAAATACCTTACAAGGAAAGCCAGGCACGGTTAAATAAGGAAATATTATATTGGGATGCAGTGTGGGATAGATGGACCATCAGTTTTCGATAAAAGAAGGAAAGGATTTGCCAAAAGTAATTGACTCGTTAAGTGAACGGGCAAGGGAAGCAGTGAGGTACGATCCATGATGGGACTATAGGGACCATGAACGGAAACATCAGCCCAGGTCATATATGAGGTATAAAAGTCCTGAATCACCGAGAGGATGCCTCTATTTGCCTGCGCCCATGCACCTTAACTGGTTTCACGTCTTGGAAAGGAAAGAAAGCTTCTCCAGCGAAGTTTCTTCAGTTAATTAACCCACATTAATGGATTCAGGGATCAACCAAGGCACATACAATACAGAGCGCCTGTGGCGGTGGAACAAAAAGTCAAAGCGCATGCAGTAAATAATCAGGGAAAAAGCATAGTATAACCATAAAAAGCTAACAAGTTATAAAAAGGGAAAATAAAAATGAAGAAGGGATGGACTTCGAGAATCTGGAAGCGTGCGGTCAGCTGTTGCACATGGGCAAGGAGAGGCTGGAAGAACTGGCGATCTAATCAGTGGAGGAGCAGACAGGGTGAAGAGTTCCCCCTTGAAGAAGTGGCTGAAATGATCGTCAATGACCCGCCAACACCCGAACAGGTACAATGAGTAACCGGCAGACCGCCAGTAGTGGAATGCCCAGCTTTTACATATCGGTATGCAGTACAGGATGTGATGGCAGTACATGGTCTATCCGAAGGACTTGCTATGATCCACATAGATGACTACATAGCCAATGGACAGGACTGGAGGGAAGCGTGTCAGATACACACCGGAAATATATGGGTGTAATAATAAATATTGTATTTTGACTTGGAAGAAAGGTATAAAATAGCCTAGAATAATTCCACAGCATCAGAAAGACCCCCTGAAAGTGAACAAGACTAGTCCACAAAGCATGAAGACTACTCTATACACGGTGATCGCAGTAATCCTGGGCCTGATCCTAGCTTTAGCAGGCTGGCGCTACGGATTTACACCCAATAAGGACAAGGAAAGGGAACTGGAGAGCCCATTAACGTCCGACGGAGAAGAACCAGAGGTGGTTCATAGGAATATGGAGTATCGAGAGAAATCAAGCTCTCAGGAATCGTTGGGGGACCGGTATCTACTCAAGAACCAAGGGAGGAAGCCAACAGGCAGGCAATTCTACGTATCCCGCAACCTTTCTCACCCCTACTAACCCAACGGAAGGAGGAAGAGGAGTAACATCCCCTTTATTGCCTTTCTGGGGGCAGGAAAAGGTATGGATCCGAAAATGGCTGTCCCAGAATGGCAAACGCTGATAGCCGAGACTATGAACACAGCCAATCGATAAATTCCCGGACTCTGTGCACGGATCCCAATGTACTCTAGTGTTAAAGTAAACAAAACCAGGGATAAGGTAGAGACAAGTACTGTCTCATCGGCCCAGAAACAATTGAGTAGTAATCAGGGGATACACGAGTAAGACACAAGGAATCGATCAAAGAGGGTGCAAGATCCCAAATAAATGGAAAACCCGAACTTGCCAGTGAGACAAGCCAGGAAGTCAGCAGGGGGAGGAGTCATGGGAAAATCGGAGAACCCCAGTAACGGCGGTGATCTAAGATCGGAGTGTGCACCCAAAGGAAAAAGCCGAAGGAGGATTTGGTCTAAGGGAACAGCCAGGAGAATTGAGATGTTGAGCTATGATATTGAAGACCAAAGCAGAGCAGATATCAGAAAGGTCGAGGAGAAAGGAACAGGGAAGTGGAACGGAGAGACGAGGCTGCGGATGGACTGCCTCACAGTCATTGGAAAGATGGGGGGACAAGACACAATCCACGAAGGGAAAGCTCAGAACCCCAGAGTACCAATGGAGGATGGAGTATACAGAAGCAAAAATATATAAAAATCAGAGGAGGACGAAGACAACTTAGCTAGAGTCCCACCCCCTCAGAATAATCCGAACTAGCTTATATCTGAATATGTCTACTGTCCAGACCGCCAAATTGCCAGTCTCCCTAGTCAAGCGAGGTCAGATGGAAGGTTGGATTCCGAATCACGTCGTAGCAGCAGGAGCAATCACAACCTTGGGAAAGGTGACAATCCCGGAAACAGATGAAATGTCCACTAGTGCTGATAGCCACAGGTCGGACTCCAAGCTTGAATACTTGATTGAAAGGGTGAGGAATAACCTTAACCAGCGACAAACAGCGGACAGGGTATTATTGGAAAGGACGGGGGGAATTCTGGAAGAGTCCTGCCAACAATCCGATAGTAAGCACGTGAAGACAAAGACAGAGGAAGTTAAGATAACCCAGATAGCTGCTGTAGATACGGATTCAGAAGATTTACAGGATGCGGAATTACAGTATCCCGAAAGTAGTATTGCAGAGTATGCATATAACTGGACGGACCCCCCCATCAACCAAGTGGCGTCGGTACCCCATAATTCACCGGAACCCACCTGGGGACCTACCCGATCTTCTTATGTACCCCACATTGGAACCACGGCATTGTCATATCCATGCATACCCGATCCTGACCCGACTCCTGGACCTCCTCCTTCACCACCTCCGGAGTTCTGCCCTACTGCTGTCTGTTCCGATATTCACCTTCGGTCCTGACACCACACCTCTCACCCCCCCATGCCACCTCCACTCCTCCATCCCTCTCCTGTCCTATCTCCGTCCACTCCGATACTCACCTCGGACTGAACACCACACCTCTCACCACCCTCCTCCTACTCCTCTTGCCACCCTCTTCCTACTCCTCCTCCCACTCCTCCGCTCCCTCCTCACAACACCTCCACCCTTCTGTCATCCTCCTACTCTTCTCCCATCCGCTCCAATACTCACCTTCGGACCTGACAACTCTCCTTTCTGCCACTCTTCCCTCTTTCCTCCCTCTTCTGCCGACCTCCCGCCAAGTTACGACCTTCCGCCGCTGTCCCATACCTCGTACTCGGACACCGCTCGTACCTTCACTCCAAGACTCCGTCATAGCTCCTACCTCGGACTTTGACTCCACCTTGGCCTTAGTCCATTGCATTGGTGACCTCATACTACGTAAACACCATTGCCAATATCCCTCGGACTTTCAACCCCACCTCCATAAGCTCCGTAACCTCCGAGCTCCATGGATCATCTTTGGCACTTTTGCCGCTTGTAATGTATCTCTCGCATTTTCCCCTCATCCCTATTTGGACTGCTGCTTCTTCCCATTCTAGCCAGTTAGTCATCATCCCCACTTCCCCTCGTCCTCCTGCCCCTCTGGGCTTCGCCCTCCTTACCGCCTTTCGGACATACCACAGGTTCTACCTTATGACCTTCGGTACCGCTCCGCTTCTGTCATCCCTTTGTTCCCGTTCGGACACCTTCGTTCCGATTCGGATCCCCTTTGTTTCCTTGTGCTTTTGCCCTCTCCATTATATATATTGGTGCTTGTACATACTCGTTTTAGTCCTTAGTCTAAAATCGACCTGAAATGCCCCCTAGAGACTTCCTGCTCGCCTCCTATGAAATTAAGGACCAAATGGACAAACAGCAATGGCACAGTGCTCCGCTTGAGTCACTGAGGCCAAGGTCCCTCCTTGCTAAGTCTCCGGTTCCCCTCCAGAATTGTCCGCCCTCACCCAGTTCTAACAGGCATCCCCAGCATTTGCCAAACTACTCAAAGAAAAGATGCGCACGGACTATGACCAAGGTTACCCCAAGGGCATCAAATTCGTAAGCGTCTTACTCAACAAACACCTAACACAATTGGAACGAGACTTGGACAAGACTTGGAGAACTACTCAAGAATGCATGTCGCTAATTCAAGATGAGATTGCCCTTCGAGAAAATCCACGCAGGATGGGAACTTTATTCAAGTTGCACGAGACAAGGCTGTTGGTACGAGACCTGGAAGAAGTCATAGAATTAGTAATAGGGAGGATTACGTTGGAAGCCGCTATCTGCAATGACCATGGAACAGTAGATTACATCGACAACAATCTACGTCAAGCATGGGGACAACTTCATCATTTTCTCCATCTATCCCTCAAACATCTAACTATACCCCACAAGGAATGCCCTCTCGAGTTTTACCATGTTTTCCAAACATTCATGTATGAGAAGCTCCGAGAGTTCGATCCCGAAACTATGGAGGAATTGCAAGTAGCCATGGAAATGTACCGATTGGACCAAGACGTGTGACGAAACCTGGCCGGTTGAGCGAAGGGAAAGATATTGGAGGTAGCTATAAGATACCTTGACGTGAAAACACACTCTCTCCCAATCACACTACCACCCAATCAACCCCGAATTATCTTCCGAATACATTCTTTGTACTACCACTAGGACTGAATATGAAACATTTTCGCGAAAAGATTGAGACAAGACCTAAGCAACCTTATGCAAATATCTAATAAACAATCTTAAGAAAACATATTGATAAAAAGATAAGAGAAACAAAGTGATTAAAAAGGGGATTGCAAGGGACTGCAATAGACCCGCTGTGCCTGTTTGTAGGAGAAATAACGGACACACTATGGAAACCCATTATGGAAATATGCCAGATAAATCACAAAACCCCATACGACAAGTAGATATGAGAAAATAGAAGGACCTGAACTTTAATGAATTTTAATGAATTTTTTACGAATTATTACGATTATACGCGATAAATTGAAAGAAAGAAAATTAGCAAAAATACTTCAAGCTTAGCATCAACAAGACGGAATTCTCGGGGGAATTTATAGCAAATATTAAACAAAGAATTAGGACAATCGACCAAGATTTGACTATAAAAACAATCAGAGAACCTCCACGGAAACTACTTTCCCACGTCCGCACACATAGCCAAGGATGGAAGTACCGCGGAACAAGGATTCCTCAGGAACTAATGAAAAATTCAAAGTCGTGTTTATAGTAGGAAATGTAGATGTCCTCCAAACGGACCCAATGAAAGTAATTACAGGGAAAACTACCCATAAACGACGGAGATATGACTAAAACTCCTGCAAAACGAGGACAACGCTTAAAAAGCAAGCACAAAGAATAACCAGTAACGACCGAGACGAGCTTGATAGCCCATTAGAAAGGAAGGGATCTAATCTTGATCCACCCAAATTTTCATAATAAAAGGATCACGCATTATGAGATATCCAATAACAGGAATAGCAACATCAAAAGTCCGAGCTCAGGGAAAAGACGATGTTTACGTAGGATCCATAATTAAAACATACAACGAAATTTACACGGAAATTATGAAAAAATAGGAAACTATAGTTATGCAAATTTCCAGCCCAAACGGTTGAGCCGTTGTAAAGTTATACCAATGACGGGAATATAGAAATCCGCATCATGTTTAATGACACATGAGGGTGGCAATGCAAAGGGAACCGGCCATTGGAACTGAGATCCGCACTTTGGCAGATCGTGAAGACCAATTTCCGTCCAAATAAGGAAGAGCCTGGTCAAAACAAAGCACAGAAAGTGCAAAACAACCTTAGATCATGAGGGAAAAATCTGAAATAAATCACAGAAGCCCATATGAAGGATATAAACACCCGCTGAAGGAGAGAATGAAGGAAGGTCAGTTGGGAGGTTCAAACGAGACCACCACCAAGCTGTTCCCTGGTTCTTAGGATGGGGAAGTGTACTAGTGTTATTTATTGTAAATATAGTACCAATCCGAGTGTTTTGGCTGGTTCTATTTTTATGGGTTAGTTTTAAAGTTCCTGGGAATTGACTTACAGATAAACCAAGCCCTGCGGAGCTGTTTCTTTATTGAAATTTCTTAATTTGTCTAGGTGTAATTCTGTGTAGCGTTGTTTAATTTGGAATTTAACTTGAATTTAATCTTCTACTTGGTGAAGTTTCAAAGATTCTATTCAGTTAATGGATTTGGATTGTGTCTGGAGTGTCCCTTGGGTTTGTTTTATTTTTGTCTTATTTTATTGCTTGTTTTAACAGTAGCAAGATAACTGTTTTGTGTTTACACTTTGAAATCTGGAGTGTTAACCAGCTCTCCTGTTGAAATATCTACTTAATATTTCTCTCCTTAATTGCTGCCTTTTACTACAGTGGCAATCTTAACTGTATATCACTTTTTCACGCTGGAGTGACAACCAGAAATGCTTGAGAAAAATAATACTCTATTTTCTTACTTCTCTAAGGGGAGCGAAAAGTCACAGAAAGGGTCTCCCTTTTATACTCCTTGGGTCGCCTTCCTTTTTCACGCTCTACCTTCTATTTACAGGATTTATTTACAGTGTATTTTTCTCAAACTGAATAAAAAATGAAATTTTCACGCTATAGTTCTACTGCGCTTTTGCTGCGCTGAACTGTGGTTCTACTGCGGTCAGACTGCGCCTAGAATCCTTATTGTCCTCCCTCGCCTAAGCTATTTTAATGGTTAATTAGAACTTGGCTGCGCTGCATTTGTTGCAGTTACCTATTTCAAATTCCCTATATATACCATTAAATTTGCTATGACTCGATGATTCTGAATTCAAACTTTGCATTACTATGCGTACGGCTGTGCTGAGACCTTCAGCTGATTTATTCCATTTTTATTTAGTGACATTTAGTTAAAATGAGACTGAAATGGTAAATGAGTGAATTATTCAGGTTTAAAACTGAAAGAAAAAGTTGCTAGTAGTCAAGAATTACTCAAACGAATGTGTTATAGCTCTCCACCTCATTAAAATATCGTTCCCTAAAATTCCCACCATGGTCCGTCTGTAGGGAATGGATGTGTGGTGATGCGTGCTGTGCACGCTTTCTTTATTCATTGTTTATTACTCTTTATTTCTCGATGTAAACAATGTATATAAATTGCGGGGAAGGGTGAAACAGGTTTTCACTCTTCTCCTCCCCTGTCGAAATTACAGCTCTATACTGCCTAATTCCTGACAGCTTGAGGATAGCAGGAGTCAACACCAAGGTCGGAACCTCAACCGACCTTACACCATCGTAGTTTAGTGGTTTTCGTGAATTTCGTTCATATTCCCTGATTCCCCTTTGTATTATCACATCCTAATCCTCCATATGTATTGTTCGTTGTTATAGTAGGTCGTCCTTGAAGATATCATATTTTTATGTATTTTATCTGGACCTCTTGAAGCTGTTTTCCCGCGTGTTTTCAGGTTTCTAACTTCATGTCCTTGTATCTCATTCATTTCTGGATGTCTTCTCACGTTCTTGGTATCATAAATTTTCATTTATTCCCACCTTTCCAATGGTACTAGGTTGTGTCCTATTTCCTGGTATTCGTTGAGTTAGCAAAAGTTTGTGCGCACATTCGGTAATCACGTGCGTTGTTCCCATAGTCGTTTGTATGCGGGCGCCGTTTCCGTTTAATTGTTCGGGATTTATGATATGTGTGGGTGTTTATTTCTTTCATATGGGCTTCTGTGATTTATTTCAGATTTTTCCCTCATGATCTAAGGTTGTTTTGCACTTTCTGTGCTTTGTTTTGACCGGGCTCTTCCTTATTTGGACGGAAATTGGTCTTCGCAATCTGCCGAAGTGTGGATCTCGGTTCCGACGGCCAGTTCCCTGCGCATCGCCACCCTCACATGTCATTACACATGATGCGGATTTCTATATTCCCGTCATGGGTATAACTTCACAACGGCTGGACCGTTTGGGCTGAAAATCTGCATAACTATAGTTCCTTATTTTTCATAATTTCCGCGTAAACTTCGTTGTATGTTTTAATTATGGATCCTACGTAAACATCGTCTTTTCCCTGAGCTCGGACTTTTGATGTTGCTATTCCCATTATTGGATATCACATTAATGCATGATCCTTTTATTATGAAAATTTGGGAGGATTAAGATTAGATCCCTTCCTTTCTAATGGGCTATCAAGCTTGTCTCGGTCGTTACTGGTTAATCTTCACGCTTGCCTTTTAGACATTGTCCTCATTTTGCAGGAGTTTTAGTCATATCTCCGTCGTTTATGGGTAGTTTCCCCTGTAATTACTTTCATTGGATCCGTTTGGGGGACATCTACATTTCCTATTATAGACACGACTTTGAATTTTGCATTAGTTCCTGAGGAATCCTTGTTCCGTGGTACTTCCATCCTTGGCTATGTGTGTGGACTGTCAGAGACAGGATTACTTGTCAAAGACTGGATTATTGTCGGAGTTGGAGATTGTGGCAGAGGTCTGTTGGAGCGCGCGCGCGGATATGCGGGCGGAAATATGCGGCGCGTCCGGAAGTGCTGTTCAAGGTTAGCAGAGTGGGATCGCGGCCTCAGCGACTCAGGTGGAGCGCTGTGCCCTGAGCTTGACGTTTGGGGGAGATCCCGTATTTACAGACTGACACTTACAGCGGACTTCAAACAAGACTTGCGGGCGGAGCGGACCTGTAGGAGGAGCACAGACTCCGTGAGCACGGACTCAGAGGGGGGGAAGCCCCCTTTGCAGAAGGAGGGACTCAGACCAGACAGGGGGGGGTACTCTAGTTGATTTCAGACTGAGGTCCCTAAAAGTATTTACAAGGTATATAAATAGGCAAGAGGGAATATAGAAAGGCTGGTCAGTCCGGCGCGGTCCGGCGCGGAGATAAGCGGGGATTGTCAAACTAAATAAGGACAAGAGCCCGGGAACTGGAAACGAGGAGCAGATCAATAAACAATAAGTGGCAAGGGTTATTGATGAATAACTGAATGAGATCAATAACCTAGTGCCAATAAAGAGGGGATCAAATGCCGATATTGGCAGGGAAGCAAACAATAAATGGCACTCGGCAAGGAATGGATGATAAGCTGCCAAGTGACAAATGGCCAGAGGAAAAGCGGAGGTCAGCGCGCGGCACCGATACAAGTCCGCAAATCAGGATGCGGGGTCGGTGCGATGCCGACACAAGTCCGCAAAGGGATGCGGGAATCAGCATGGTGCTGATGAGTCCGCAACAGAGGGTGGTCTGTCAGTGCTGTCATAAAAGGACAGCATGATGGCCAGCAAGATACGGAGGGGAGTGTTGACCTGACCAGAGGTGTCAAGGACAACCAGAAATGGACAGAGGTTGCAGAAGGTGCGGAAGCGGTGCATGGTCGATAGAACAGACATCGGGTTGGGGCTGGTATGGATGGGTTCGGGTCGGAGGAATCGCCTGTCGGCATTGATTCGCTGCTGACGGAGCCCCGGGATTTGTCAGTCGTGACACGGACATGGGAAAGTAGTTTCCGTGGAGGTTCTCTGATTGTTTTTATAGTCAAATCTTGGTCGATTGTCCTAATTCTTGGTTTAATATTTGCTATAAATTTCCCCGAGAATTCCGTCTCGTTGATGGTAAGCTTGAAGTATTTTTGCTATTTTTCTTTCTTTCAATTTATCGCGTATAGTCATAATAATTCATTAAAATTCAGGTCCTTCTATTTTCTCATATCTACTTGTCGTATGAGGTTTTGTGATTTATCTGGCATATTTCCATAATGGGTTTCCATAGTGTGACCGTTATTTCTCCTACACCGCGCATACCATAAATCCCGAACAATTAAACAGAAACAGTGCCTGCATATGAACGACTATGGGAACGATGCATGTGATTACCGAATGTGTGTGCGGGGGTCGGGTGGGGCATGTTGCGGCGTGCCCTGACAGACACCCACTTGCTGCGTGCTCAGCCGACTCTGCTCACTTCTCTCACTTTATTCACACTTCTACGGCTCCACGGACTCCCAGTCACAACCTCTGGACTCCTCTTGTGCATTTTTACATTGATCCACACGCTTTTTGGGGAAATAGATGCGGAATTCAACTTGCATGCTTAGAAACTCGTGCTGGTACACACTCTAGTCTTCCCTTGCGCATAGTTCATGCATTGACAGCATTCTGGACAAGTACTACTGCCTTCTAGTACACCCTCTAAGCTGTTTGATACGCAAATTCATGCCCAATTTGTGCGCACACAGTTCCCAAGGTGTGTGCTTGCTCTTCCACTTGTGATTTCATGCATGTGCAACATCCCAGATGCATACTCGTGCCGTGTGAAATCTCAGACACATGCATACACACTCTGAGCAGTTCTTTCACGCAATTTACGTGCAACTCCTGGATAACTTGCAATGTACTGTTGGACAGATGTAATCTCCCTCTGGCAGAAATCATCCCTCAGCCCCCAGGGGATTACTGGGACTCGTCTACACATATCCAAGCATGGGAGAAGTGTCAGCAAGCGATAGAGATTATTGCTGGAAACCTCAAAGCTCATGTCGCTGCTGTTGCGGGCTGCTATAGGCCGTGATGGCTGCAATGCCATGAACAAGGCCCGAGGGTAGGGCATTTGGCCTCAGCGACTCTAAAGGAGCGCTGTGCCCCCTAGCTGTCTCTTGGCCCTCATTTCAGACTCACTGGGGTTGCCTTGTTGGGGTCAGGACTTGGGGGTCATGGTTAAATCGATATTAGAGCTAAGGTACAATAAAGTAACATACAGGATATATATAGGGAGAAAGAATGAATGGAAGCGGACCCGGGCCGAAGGCCGAAGGGTCCGGAAGCAAAAGGGAACAAAGAGCGGGGTTGGCCACACAGCAGCCGGCAATGACCGAGGGTCAAAACAAACAATAAACAAACAATAACAGATAAATAAAGGAAGGAGCATAGGGCCATGATAGCGGCGATGGTATCATAGCAGCACTGGACTTGGAGTTGGGCCGGAGTCGGGTGCAGGAATGGTAGCGGCCCTGTAGGGGCCAAGTGGGCGGGGTAGAGGAGTTGCAGTGGGTGTGGTGCCAGAGGCAGACTCAGGGCAGGGAGGTTGGTGTGGCTGTGGGGGAGTCGGCCAAGTGTAGGGGAGCCTAGGGGCAAGTGGAGGAGTGAGCAGGGAGTCCTCAGGGAGGATAGGGCTGAGGTCGGGGCTCATGCTCACATAGTGGGAATGGGCTCGGGCAGCATCGGGATGGGTGGCTAACGGGCTGGAATGCATGGCTGTGACACAATGTCAGGGCACACCCACCTGACCCCACTCCACCCGGTCCGACCCCACCCGATCCCACTACCCTCACCCGGTGTCCCCATCCTCCCTCCTCCCTTCTCTCTTCCCTCCTCTCTCCTTCCTCCTTTCCCCTCTTCTTTCTTCTTTCCTTTCTTTCTCCTTCTTTCCTTTTCTACTACACGGACGACTTCCTTGCTCGATGTACCATTAACCAGGCTGCGCAACACGCCTGGACCCGGACACACTGGGCGACGCCCTACACACTGGACGCTCCTGAGATCTCTTACGGAGATACCTGGGCAGATATGGCTGTGCGCATAGATGATGTGGTGCTCCCCACGTGACCTTCAACTGCATGTACATAAACACAGCCTAAGTGGGAACTGAGAAGTAACCTTCTCACACTTCCCACTTTAGCCTAAGTGGCCAGGGACACCCTTTTGTGCCGGGCCTGTTAGTACATGTGCCCATGCTACACCCTACCGGGTCCTCAGTGCCGGGTGACACACCCAGGTGCCCTCGACCCTGGGTCGCTCCCTGACACACAAAGTCGCAGCAACAACCAACTGCCAACATGTTGACTTGGAGATGCCCACTGCACATCAGCCTTCTGTTGATTGTGCAGCCTCCAACCCCAATCCAAGTTCCTCCACTGCACACTCAGATGCCAATGCATTGCCAGCTGTGGTTCTGCCACACTCCCAGATGGCACTGTCAACTCCGCTGACTCTGGACCTAACTTTGCCGACTTTGGCATTAGTTCCACCGACTCCGGCGACCCTGAAGAACTGTCATCATCGCCAAGGTCGTAAAAAACGTCAATCTGAGCAACATTCATCTTCACCTTCCCTTTCCGTCGCTCCAAATCCCTCTTCCATCTCTTCCACCTCTTCCCCCCTTCATTCTGGTTACAATAAATCATGTTTTAATCTTGCTCAACATATCCCCTTCCCTATCCTCACATATGCTGCTGTGGCTGGCAAAAAAGCACAGCTGTGTATTTCATTTCCCATCTTGGCCACCCCTGATGCACGACCTCAAGGATGGCCAACCAAGACTCGACTGGGTTCAACTAAGGACCCACCTTCCTAAGGGTTTGAGAACACCCATGGGTTGCTCTAAGGGGAGAACCCATAGGTTGTTTCAAGGGGAGAGTGTAAGGAAGGGGTGGTGATTTACATTATTCCTTTATTATTCCTTGTTGTACTTTTGTATTTACATATGTATGGTGCGGAGTCAGGTAAAGGGTTCTTTACTCTTCTCCACACCAACGTCGAATACTAAGTTCTGTCTAACCTAGATATTGACTGACCTGAGGACTGAAGAGGTACCAAGGTCGGCACCTACACCGACCTTATACACTCAAGCTGTTGTCAGGGCACACCTGCCTGACCCGGCCCCACCTGACCCAATACCCCACTACCCACTCCCCCTGCTTCTCCCTTCTTTCCCCTTCCCTCTCTTCCATTCCACTTCCTCTCTCCCCCTATTCTATTTCCTCTTTATTTGCTCTTTATTTTACATGGACAACTTTCTTTTATATCAATGTACCATTGACCCACCCACAGTGCGCATACAACACACCTGGCCCAGACATCTCGGGTGACTTCCCACTGTGTCCAGCATGTGTGCTTGCACTGGATGCCCTCGGGACCTCCCATGGAGATACCCAGGTGGTCACAGCTGTGTGTGAGGGTGACGTTGTTGTGGGGACAACTCCGTGCACCGCAAAAAGTCGGATTCTGTGGAATTTGGCCACCAACATACACCACATACCCTCTGACGCTTCCATTGCTCATCCCCACACTATCCAACACTCCATACACCCATTCCCTATTTTTCCTTATTTTCCCTATCATTCCCGACAACCCCAAGCAAAATTCCCATGCCCAACCATACTGCCAATTTCACCCCCTCTCTAGATCTCCATAACCACACATACAACCCAGCCGTTTTTCTACCCGATAGTGATGCTCTACCATCCTTCTTCACCCCCAGAGCATTTCCCAGAATGGCAATCCCATACCCGGATGGTTCAGCATGGAGTATAGTCTCATGTGGTCTTGACAGCACCTGTCAATGGCCACATCTCAAGAAGTACTGCACCAATTGGGATGAATGAGGGTTCGTTGGAAAGCTGGAGACGAGGAGGTTGCTGACGGGAGGATAGGCGGGCGCTGCAGCGAAGTGTTGCGGAGTTAACCTTCACAATTCCCATTTCGGACCCGTTGTCACATTTTCCCCATTCATTCATATTTCTTTTATTGTTTCTTTGTTCCCAATTGGATATTTATCATTTACGGTTGCCTAACGGCCCGTTTACATTCCCCCACTCCATTCATTCCATTTCCAACTCATATAAACTAGATAACAGCTTGTACACAACAAGTTAGTACTGAATAGACCTGTGAAGGGACAAGCAGAAGTTACATCCAAGTGGCAAAGATGCCATCCACGACCATAACGTTTCCCCTGAGCTAGTTGCTTACGTCTAAGACCCCTCTCATCATAATACTCAGCCTTGACGTCCAAGAGAGATGTAGGTGAGTGTTTGTTTGAGGTTCTAGCAGACCCGGTAGTGCCCCAGGACCAAAACCCGGCCCCACGAACCACACCCACACACACTACCACCCTCCCCCTTCTCTCTGTCTCGAGTCTAGGCGATAGACCCATTACAACGTGGCACTTGTCATGTGACCCAAGCCACATGTAGATAAACGTACCTGGAGTGGGAACCAAAGAAGTAGCCTTCTTCTCAACTTTCCACTTCAGGTAAGTAGTATAGCATCCTGTCATGACCTGGCATATCCACCACTTCCATCAACATGTCCTAGTGCCACTTGGCCCATCCCACCCACTACCATCATCATCTGTTCATCCACCCATCCACCTGCCACCCTCATCTGCACTTTCTCCCTGCACACATACCTCCCAACTGTTAGAACTGGGTGAGGGCGGACAATTCTGGAGGGGAACCGGAGACTTAGCAAGGAGGGACCTTGGCCTCAGCGACTCAAGCGGAGCGCTGTGCCATTGCTGTTTGTCCATTTGGTCCTTAATTTCATAGGAGGCGAGCAGGAAGTCTCTAGGGGGCATTTCAGGTCGATTTTAGACTAAGGACTAAAACGAGTATGTACAAGTGCCGATATATATAATGGAGAGGGCAAAAGCACAAGGAAACAAAGGGGATCCGAATTGGAACGAAGGTGTCCAAATGGGAACAAAGGGATGACAGAAGCGGAGCAGTACCAAAGGTCATAAGGTAGAACCTGTGGTATGTCCGAAAGAAGGTAAGGAGGGTGAAGCCCAGAGGGGCAGGAGGATGAGGGGAAGTGGGGATGATGACTAACTGGCTAGAATGGGAAGAAGCAGCAGTCCAAATAGGGATGAGGGGAAAACGCGAGAGATACATTACAAGCGGCGAAAGTGCCGAAGATGATCTGTGGAGCTCGGAGCTTACGGAGCTTACGGAGGTGGGGTTGAAAGTCTGAGGAATATTGGCAATGGCGTTTACATAGTATGAGGTCACCAATGCAATGGACTAAGGCCGAGGTGGAGTCAAAGTCCGAGGTAGGAGCTATGATGGACTCTCGGAGCGAAGGTACAAGCGGTGTCCAAGTACGAGGTACAGGACAGTGGCGGAAGGTCGTAACTTGGCGGGAGGTCGGCAGAAGAGGGAGGAAAGAGGGAAAAGTGGCGGAAAGGAGAGTTGTCAGGTCCGAAGGTGAGTATTGGAGTGGACGGGAGAAGAGTAGGAGGATGATGGAAGGGTGGAGGTGTTGTGAGGAGGGAGGGGAGGAGTGGGAGGAGGAGTAGGAAGAGGGTGGTGAGAGGAGTAGGAGGAGGGTGGTGAGAGGAGTGGTGTTCGGTCCAAGGTGAGTATCGGAGCGGACGGAGATGTCATATCCATGCAATCCTGACCTCCGCTCCAGGCTCCCGGAACTCCGAACCTGATTTCCTACCCTACCACTGTCCGTTCCGATATTCACCTTCGGACCCGACACCACACCTCCCCTCACCCCTCATGCCACCTCCACCCTCCTGTCCTTCTCCTACCCTATCTCCGTCTGCTCCGATACTCATCTCGGACCGAACATCACCCCTTCCGTCACCTCCTCCTTGCCGACGTCCAAGAGGTTATCCCACCTCCAGCTCCAACACCACCTTCGGTCCGACTCCGGAACATTCCGGGTCCGACCTCATCCTTGACACCTTCCAGACGAGCACGCAACACCTATGCTCCCGACTCCGGACCTCCACTCCGGAATCCCGTTCGTGTCTCCGTCTCCGGAACCTCCGGTCTTAGCTCCGACCTCGGACTTTGACCCCACCTCCGCTTATACCCATTGTATTGGTTAGCTCATTCCATTTAATTACATTTGCCAATATTCCGGAGTTTAACTTCCGAGTTCGGACTTTCCGGACTTATGTCAGACCTTGCAACTATTGCATTGCTCCATTCAATTCCGCTATTCTCCCTCATTCCTATTTGGGCTGCTGCTCCCTTTCTATTCAGTCAGCTGGCCATTCCCCACTCCCATCCTCCTTCCTTCCTCCTTGGGCCTTGGCCCTTCACTCCTCCTTTGGGAAACACCATTGAGTCAAACACTTGACCCTCGGTGTTGTTCCTCTTTCCATCTCCCTTTGTCTCCTTTCATCCTACCCTTGTTCCTTTTGATTCCGGACCCCTCCTTATATACAATGTACCTAGTAACTTGTAACCTCAGTCTGAAATCGACTTGAATTCCCCCAAGAGACTTTCCCTCTGAATTAGGGACCCCCAGGACAACCAGCAATGGCACAGCGCTCCGCCTGAGTCGCTGAGGCTGAGGTCCTTCCACGCTAAGTCTCCGATTCCACTCCAGAGTCATCCGAATCCACCCGTTCTAACAGGTATCTGGTAAAGTTCACAGGCTGGCCAAACTCGGAAAACCGATGGCTCCCCCATGACCACCTAGTCCATGCCCCCAACCGGATTGAGGAATTCCACCAGACACACCCCCAAGCCCCAGGGAGAGAAAGAGAGAACCGCCTTGCCGCTTCGAGGCAAAGCAGCTTAAGGAGGGGGTGATGTCAGGGCACACCCGCCTGACCCTGCTCCACCTGGCCCGGACCCACCCAATCCTGTCGTCCTCCACCCGGTAGTTCCCCCAGTTATAATATAAACAGTCTTCAGCCCTCCAAAACCTCTTCTAGGATGTCTATCGCATCCCACTTGTCTGCTGCTCCTAAGAACTGAGTAACAGGCACTCCCAGAGATGCCTTGGATAACACCCAATGAATCGCATGACAAACGATTGACCCTCGCTAATGCCTCCTCCATTAAGTGGTGAGGAGGGGGCCTCTGGCCCCCTTCTGCTGGCGGCCTCAGTTCCTCCATCGCCAGCTCCCCTGACAAATGGGGACAATGAGAATGTACTGGGCACAGCGCTCCATTCCAAGTCGCTGAAGCCGAGTCCCTTCAACACCCCATCACCCTCAGAGCTCTGCTCCACCTCCGGTCTGTCTCTGACCCACTGTCAGATGACCCGGAACACCAAGCTCCACCTGACAGCATCGCCTGGATAGCGATCGACCTATCCTCTAAGGAAAGACGTTCATGACAAGTGACTCTTGCATGGCCATCTGTACCAGTTTCAACTGTACACAGCTGGACGCTCTCGGGATTGTCAACCTTCACTTGAAGGGTATAGAGGTTGTGGTTTTGGAATGCCCAGGAAAAAACCTTTCCAGTGGAAGCCTTTATCAAGTCGGCACTCTTGGTTGTGAACACGGTATTGATTCCCATGTCACTCATCTTGGTCATTGATAGCAGAGACTCGCCAAGTTCTGGTACATACAGTACATCCTTGAACACTGCTTCTCAGCATTGACCATCTATGCAGGTTTGGACTTGAATGTTCCCTATGCTGGTGGCCTGGATCACTCGGTTGTCTGCTATGCATATATGACGTGGGGGGTTGAGTGTGTGATGGGAGGAGAAATAAGAACGATTATTGCACATATGGGCCAATGCCCCAGAATCGATGATGAAGTGTGCATCCTTGGACCCTTTTGACATGCCCCCAGCCACGAAAGCCTCTTCAGAACGA